TTATGGTGCTACCCGCAAAAAAGAGGTGCTGCAGGCGCCCTGCCCGACTGCAAGGATGGCCGAGGATATAACTAGTGCCCCTGGGGCTGTTCGGCATGGCGTCCTGGCCCCCAAATAAATCTCAACTCCATCTCCTTCTCTCCACGCCCAATGCCACCCCCCGTCCACGTCAGCAACATCTAACGGGACCCTTGCTTCTCCACTGTCCTCCTTCCAATCTGCTCTCCAGACAGCAGCCACTGCGGGTGGGATCACGTGTCTCCACTGCTCAATACCCGTCTAGCTCTCTGTTGCTCTTAGAATGGAACCTCAACCCCGTACCCCAATCCATGCCTCTCCGTGAGTGGTCTCCCACACCCCCGTCGCCCCTGCTCACCCACCGTCCTCCGGCCACCCTGGCCTGTTCTGGCTCCTCGAACCAGCCCAGCTCTTCCCAACCTCAAGCTAGCGCAGCTCCCCGTAACTGACACATACTAGTTGCTTAATAAATACTGACTGAGGAATAAATCAATCTCTTTTTTAGATATCACTCCTATCTTTTGAAAAGTGCTAAAAGGCTGTTGGTTCATCACTGGGCTCCCTGGCACATGCCTAAAGGGCAAACTCTGTATCATTTTTTACTGGAAAAAGAGACCATATGTTTTACATACAGGTGGTGAGGCAGCAAAATTGACTTTTTCTTAATGCACGGTATTTTACTGGTTCTAAATGCGATCTTCTGAAACATCACTGAAACGGAGGAGCATTTTACGATTGATAGTACGTCATCATTGAACTGGCAGCAGGTTTTTCTTGGAAGCACATAAAATAATGATGTATCTTGCAATCAAGAGACTTCTAGAAAGCACGAAATGCAGTGTGTAAAGACGTTGGACATGTATGTTCAGCTCGTTTGGGTGTTCCACCTCTAGCTGAGGCAGTGCTGCTGGGCAGCTTGCAATCACAGCTAGCATCTCTCCAAAGCTCTAACTCTACCCGATCGTTCTTGGGGGTCCATCTGGGTCCCTGAGAGCACTGAGAAGACAACCACTTGACGGTTCCCCAGACTTTCACAAATCCACCCACCACACACCCACCCCCAGCTCTCTGTGACCCTTCCTAAATTCTCTATAGGCCAAACTCTCTCTTTTTGAGAGGCCCAGTTTCAGAAGCTACCTCCCTACAAAGCTTCCTCTCATGATACATACACACCTAGTCAAGTTCATTTCATTCCACCTTTTGTTATAAACCTGGTCTTGACGTCTCCCCTATTAGACTCAGAACTCCCAGGGGTTGAGGAAGGGATGTTCACATTGCCCTCCGCCCTGCACAGTGTTTGGAAGGTCAAAGGTGTTCAATATGTTTGCTGAACCGACCCAAATATCCCTCCATCTAAGGCAGTTTGCGCCAAGAATCTTCTGCACTATACAATCAATTCCAAACTAAAATGCCAGAGACCAGAAACCTGGAGGGGAAAAAAAATCTAATAGTTGATTTCAGAAAAAAGTAGAAATTCTAAATCTCTTAAAACATACCTCTGAAGTTTAAAAATGTGCAAGTTTTATTAACACTCTGCAAATAATCATTTCGGAGTGTGCTCCGATAATGCATAATTCCTAATGATCACTGGTCTGAATTTGAACCTGAGTCCCTCAGGCTTAAGTTACACAAGATTAAGGTGGAAACAATGGAGTTGGAAAAACAGTCCCCTTCCGAACTGTGCCATTTCAGCTGCACGTACCCTTTCATGCATGAAACTAATTCAAACCTTCATTATTAAATACAAATCAGAAATGCTTAAAAATCACCCAAAGGAAGTGAAACAAATAATACATATATACGGAACAGAAGATTCTAGAGTTCCATTCTCTAGTCTAGAGGACGTAAGTTCTTCCTATCTAGAAAGAATAGAGAAAATCAGCCACTACCATAATATTAGCAACGAAGGTAGGGGCTGCAATGACCTAGAAATAGGGAGGGGTCAGAGGCCCCAGGAGAGGGGAACCAGACCAGGGGTACTGTGGCAGATGCCATGAGAAGAACGTCTGGAAGACAAACCCTTCCTTCTCCAAAGACCACTCCTCCCCCAGAGTAACTGGTAGAATCTGAAAACCCAAACAGGGGACCTAGAAGGGGCAGGTTAGAGGTTTGAACCTGGCTCAGATCACCTGAATACATGAGAGCAGGAAGATTCCAACTTCATCTGTCATTACCTAGACCCCAGAGTGCCCCTGCCGTACATCACAGACAAGCATCATTGCAAATGGGTCTGCTGGTGTGCAGTGGTCAGCTGCAGAAAAAGGAACAAGTGGGTAGGGGTGGGGAAGTGATGGCCTGTCACCTTTGTACCCTGGACACAGATTAGCAGCAGAAATAAACCTCGGTGCCTCCCAGTGCATTTGCCTGTGTTCACTGAGCTCTTATTCTTTGCAAAGCAACAACATCTGGGGGTGGGGGAGGTGGGAGAAAGAGGAGGAGGCATTCAACGAAGCATCACATGACTCATGCCTCTGAGAGGTGGACTCTGGGTGTCCAGCTCGGGCACCTTGCCTCTCTTGGTGGTAAATTGCCAGGAAAAGTCTGAAACCTCTCTCTGGGCTCTAACCTTCAGCTGTATCCCTTGAAACTACACCCTTTCCCCAAAGAGGTTCGCGATTCACACGGTGAGAGAACAACCTGCCCCACAGATCTGAGGGTTACCGCGGAGGGCCACTCAAAGAAAAGACGGGTGGGTAAGAGAAAAGGCGACCCCCTCAAGGAGTTTTCCCTTGAGAAGGTCTCACCATGCTCAAGACCTCTGGTATCTCTGCGAACAGAGAAAAGACACAGACATCACTGTCCATCAAGCAGGCCAAATTATTTTATTATTTTTCAAATGATAAAAACAATGCCCTGCACTTGCTTGATTCAAGTGTCCCACAGTCCAAGGCACAGACATTTGCGTGCTCAGCACCGCCAAGCCCAGCAGCTGCCCCGTATTTATTCCATTAAGCTCACGGAACAATGTTATGGACAAAACGCCTTAAACAGAGATGTAATGGTATGTACATATATGTGTATATGTGTAAACATATATATATATATATAATGTACATTGCCTCTGATTTTATTCCTATTTCCAACATAAACCTACATTGGACTAAAATATCCTCATTTAACTTCCTTTGCTTTTTCTAATGTCATAACATTTAAATCGATCAAGTTGCTATTGATTTTTAAGCAGCTGAACAGGTTGAAATGGCAGGCTTCGGTCGCAAGCAAACTGGCACAGCTGTTTTCAAACTCAGCGTCTGGACAGGGAACTCATCTGTTCTTCCAAGACTCCCTACTTTGCTAATGCAACCTCCGTCCTTGGAACTACTGAGGCTCTTCACCTCGGTGTCTCCATGGACACCCCACCTCAGTGCCTCCTAGGCCATCCCATTTACCCTTACCCCCAATCTAAGCAGTGCAAGTCTGAGCTCCTCCACCTGCCCAATGGTGCTGTCCTTCCTCTTTCTGTTCCAAGCCAGTGCCGCTAAGTCTCACCTCCCCAGCACCTGCCTCATTTTGACCCCGCCTCCCTGCCTCCAGTCTTGCTGCCTCCTTTCCATGGTACCTCAACTTAGCTGACAAATTAATCTTCCACAAATACTGTGACCATGTGGCTACCCTATTCAATACCACAGAGAACTCTCTCATAATGTGTAGGGCAAGAGCCCATACTCCTTAGCCTGTCCTTCAAAGCCCTCTAAAGCCTGGCCACTGCCAAACCAGTCTGTGTGATATTCCGCTGCTCCCTCTTATACCCCTAATGCTCTAAACACCCACTGGCATCTACACATGCTCAGAGCAGGTCCACCATAGCTCACGCCATCCCTTGTACCTGCAAGTCGCTTCAGCACCGGGCTCTGTGTATTCAAACCTTCCAGTTCTTCAAACTCCAGTTTTAAAATGTCCAACCTCCAAAAGCCTTTCCCTTACCACTTTAAATGGAAGGAATCCTTTACTTCTAACTCGTATGACACATTTTTTTCTTTGCTAGGCATTGTGGGTGTTCACCCTCCCACCCACCCCACAACCTCCCTCTACAGGGAATTCCCTGACGACTGGCCTCTCTCTTACTCTCCCTGCATCCTCCACAGGGATCTAGCACCATGCCATGGCCATGGCAGTCACTGCACAGCACCCAAAACTTTGTAGCAGTCTGTCTAGGTGTCCCCCTTTCCATTCTCGGACACCCTTCAGGCTGTCCTATTCACAAGGTAGGGCATTTTCCCAACTAAAATAGAATTTCCCTGCTGCAATTCCAAAGCAGGTCAATATTCCCACCTGATCACGAACTCTTCCCATTTTTTGAAATCTGCCCATTGAGCACAGTTGTCACGGACGGCACCCTGCGGACAGGTCAGCCTTAGAAAGCAGAGGATGTTGAACCGGCCTGGGCTTCTCCACGCTGCGTTTCTACAGACTGTGTGTGTGTGTGTGTCCACTGAAGATCAGGATACATAGTAGCTAGTCGCAAAGGGCTCAAAGGACCAGCGCTTGGGGAGCGGGGCGGGCAGGGGAGCATCCGGGGAGTTCCACCCTGTTGAATCCTGGGTCCCAACTTTTCCCTCGGTCAACGCGGTACCCTCCTACCCGCCCCGACCGGCTGACGCCTGATGCCACAGGGGCCGCAACAGGAAGAGAAAAAGGCGTCGGGTGGGGGAGGCAAAGCTGGGAATTTTCGGAACTTAAGTGGATCGTGGACTGGCCCTTCTGGTTCCCAGGGATGCGAGGCCAGCGTCCGCCGCCCGCGGGTAGGAGCTGGCGCGTCCTGGAAACCGGGATGGGGCAGAGATTGGGATGAAGATGCCGCGGCTGGTGCTGATGCTGAGGCTGCCGCGCAGAATGACAGCCGCTCCCCCCACCCTGCCCCAGGGGTTGTCGAGCGCCCGGCTCCGCGCTCCCGGGGGCACTCGGCGCGCCCAGTCCCTCCGGCCCACTCCGGCCCCGGGCAGGGCCTGCGGGCTGCGATGGGGCCCGCGGCCACTACTCACCCGGAGGGTTGACCGCCGCCGGGGTTGCCATCTTGCTCGGAAGGCTCGGCGCGCGCCGGGCGGGGACGAGGAGGGGCGGCGCGGAGCCGGGCGCCCCACCCGGGGCAGGCGAGGCCAGCGCAGGCCCAGGCGCCGCCGCCGCCACCGCCACCACTGCCACACAAAGGACGGCGCGGGCGGGCGCTGCCTCCGCGCTCTCCCGCCGCCGCGGCCGCCCGCCGCCCCCGCCTTTATCGCCTCCGCCCCCTCCTCGGCCTCCTCCTCCGGCTTCAGCCTTTGTCACGCGGCGGGGGGTGCCGGGCCGCGGCTCACCCGGCCAGGCCGCAGCACCGCGAGACTTGGGGCCGCGGGCGGGTGGGGCGACCCCCGAGTCTGGGGCCGCCCCCTCGGGCCCGCGCAGGTGCCCAGGCTCGAGCCGGAGGCGCGCCCCCTCCCTTGTCGCTGGGTCCGGGTCTCCCCCACCCCCGGGTGTCCGGCACGCATCACGGAGGGGCGCTGTCCGCAGGCCAGAGGGCCGGGGCGGAGAAGGTGGGGGGCAGCCTCTTAAGATGCAGAGGGACGCGGGTCTCGGAGACGGAGAGAAACAAAGGCGCCCCAGTGCTGCCCACTTAGCATGCCAGGGCCGTGCCGCTCGGCTGCCGCGGCTAGAGACGCCCAAGGCCACGGGCACCTCCAAGGCCACGGCCACGGACAGCTGACGCACTCAGCAAACACCCTGGCAGAGGCAGCCGGCCCGGGAATTTGTGGATGATTTGTCTTTGAGAAAGGCTCTCAGCTCTGCTTTCCTTCTTGCGCGGTGGCTGTCATTGGTTATCACCTGAAGTTCTTGCAGGAGCCTTATACGACCACCTGAGCATTTAAATGATTCTCTAAATGCTTTTGTCGGCATATCCTGGTAAAGTTAGGCTGTAGGGAGCTTGGAGGGATTGTTTCTCTGCCAGACGGTAGGCTGGCTCTTAGGAAGAAGACTGGCACCCTAGTGGGTGCCCTGTGCAGGTTCCATGGAAGAGTGAACACATCCCAGTGAGAGCCACAAAGGACAAGATGGCCCCTAAATGTAGACATGTTTGCAAAAACATCGGACTGTCTTAATAAATCCTTATGAAGAAGTATTTGGAGGGGTGGGTAGAGAAAAAATGCTTGGGATATATTTTCGCATAAGCATTGTCTTCCGGAGAATATTTGACACTACTGATTTGACTAACAGTGCTTAATATTCATTTGTTTATCGATTCCACGAAACTGAATGTCTGTTGTGTGCCTGGCACAAAGCTAGGTATTGGCCAGACCGTGGAAAGAGAGCCACAGGGGCCCTGCCTTCCCTGGACTTCTAAGGTATTTGCACTCAAGAAGCACACAGCTGCCTGGGGCACCTTGTGGTCACTGGTGAATGAATGAGGCCAGAGAGAGGGTGGAGTGATCAAGAAAGCACAAACTAGGCCGTGAAGAAATGAGCAGAATGTGGAGAGGTGGAAAAGAAAGACACTTCAGGTGAAGACTTAAGGCATGTGTGCATCCGGCATCACGATGGGCCAGCTCCAGACAGATAATGAGAGGGGGAGAGAGAGCAACTCAGGTACCAGCTGGGACCACCCCATCCAAGTAGCTGCCCCTGATTTCCCCAACATCAGTCAAATGAGAGCTCAGGCTCTCTTCCACATACTCCCAACCGGCAACACCCTCAAATACCCATGTGCACTTAATAAATACACAGTATACTTGACTGAAGATTTGTTAGGGTAAGTGGAAGAGGAGGCTTATTGCAATCCTCAAGCAAGGTAAAAATCCACCTTCAATGTTTCTGCTACCCAGAACGATCCTCTTTTAGGACCCGCTCCCCACTGGCAGTTCTGTCTGTGGTGGCGCATCTTTACATAGCCCCCAGCATCACTGTACCCCTGCTCCCACCAGGCTCTTTGCATTCTCCAACTTTCCACACCCCTCAGAGGTAAGCAAGGCCCTCTCCTTGGTGTTCACGCATCATCCTCAACATGTGGCTCATTTTGGTATTATCTCCAAGCAAATACAGTTTTAATAGTCTCCCTAAAAAATAAAAGTGTAGTAAACATGACCATTATAGCTGCATGCACACATATATTTAACTGTGTTGCTGCCCTCTGCCCATTTTTCTAAAACGTTGCTCTGCAGATATCTTTAGTCCTTCTTCTTGCATTTGTCCATGGCAATAAAAGGTAGAATATGGACAGCTACAAGAGGCTGGGACACTTACCATGGTCTGCTTGGAGTCTGCCGTGCTGTTGGTTTTCAGTAAGTAATAAATATGTCTGCGTTTGAACAGAGAAGGAGGCATTTCATCCTCTCCCCCAGTGACTACATCTTAGATCCTCTCCCCCAGTCACTACATCTTAGAGGTGGAAGGGACCTTTGGCATCACCCAATTCAGCCCCCAGAGTCTGCAGATAAGGAAACTGAAGCTCAGAGTAGGGAAGTGACTTTCCCAAGGTCACACAGCTCAGTAGCCAAACAAGACTTGGAATTGAGTCGCCCACAATGCTGGGATGTGGGGGGTGGGGGGTGGAGGGGTGGAATGGGCAGGGTTCTGTGAAGGGATAGAGGAGTGGGCGATTTGGGCCCTCACCATCTCTCTTGTCTCTCGGTGGATGCAAACCCCCCCCACTCTTAAGCAAGCAGTCTGAAATGGAGCAGTTAGTCATTGTTGAATACTGAGTGGCGTTTGCACAGCACAGTGGTCTTGTGCTAATTATGAGAGCTAGTAGACTGTGACCGGTTAGCAGGCTCAGGAATTCCACTCAACGTTCAAGCAACCTAGAACTCTTTTAAATTCCAAAGGAGGCTATTGCTTTTGAAGCTGAGATTTGCATTTTTTTTTTTAATTAACGCTGAACCGCTGGGCCCGTAGCACATGATTCTGGGTACGGTGTTCCCAGAAATGACTCGGGGTGTAGGCCACAGTGCTGATAACAGCAGGTAGGGGGAAGAAATCACCTCGCCTCTGCTTCGTGTCCCTTTGATATGAGAGACAGGACTTCCACTGTGTAATGTATAATGATTCCAAGAATTGTTATCTTCTTTTAACTTTAACATAGCAAGAGACCAGGAAGCATGACATGAAAATGTATACAGCAAATGCTACTAGAAATTCAAGAAGGAACTGACAAAAAGCACAGTGGCAGTGCAGGCTAAGCTTTTTCTGGTGATAGAACAACAACAAATGCTAAATGTAAGATATGTTGATGTGAGGTTTGTTGTTTACTCTCAGCCATAGCGTGGGACCGTAAGATTCTGCTCCGCTAGCCTGAGCACACCTCTTCCTCTTAGCATGGGCCAGAGTCACCCGGCCCCAAGGGGAAAGCATGTGGCTATGATTGAGTGGGTTTGGAGACAATGACTAGACTATAATGGGACAGGCATAGTCTTCCTCCCTGGAGATGTCTGTCTCTTGGGAGTTGCTCTCACGCTCTCATCCTAAAGGCCTGAACTTCTTTAGGCACTGGTGAAACATGAGGGAAGGTGGGCAACCATTAAAAGAACGACATAGCCATAGAACGTGACCAAAACTGGTTAGAACCAACTAGATCCAAGGTGGCGGAAGTTTGGACTTCCAGTGGACCTTGAGCCTCATTATACGTTCATTGTAATGCATTAGCATAAGCTAAGTGACACACCAACCAGCGCCATGATAGTTCCAAGGCTGACCATCAAAGACCCAAAAGTGGGCAGTGGCCCAATTCCTGGAAATCCCCACCCCTTCCCCAAAATAGTTGGAATAATCCTCCCCCTCATTAGCCTACGAAATTACCCAGCCCATAAAAGCTAACCACGCCATATTTCGGGGCCTCTCGCCTTCTGAGGTGGCCCACACGCTGTCTGTGGAGTGTGTTTCTCTCTAAATAAATCCGCTTCTTACCTACCACTTTGCTTCTCACTGAATTCTTTCTGCAACGAGACATCAAGAACCTGAGCTTCATTAAGTCCTGAGACCAGGCCATGGGTTAAAAGGCCATGGGTTCCTCTAGCACTGTTGGTGGGAATGTAAACTGATATGGACACTATGGAGAACAGCATGGAGGTTCCTTAAAAAACTAAAAATAGAGTTACGATATGACCCAGCAATCCCACTACTGGGCATATACCCAGAGAAAACCATAATTCAAAAAGAGTCATGTACCACAATGTTCACTGCAGCACTATTTACAATAGCCAGGACATGAAAACAACCTAAATGCCCATCGACAGACGAATGATGTGGTACATATATACAACGGAATACTACTCAGCCATTAAAAGGAACGAAATTGGGTCACTTGTAGAGACATGGATGGATCTACAGACCGTCATACAGAGTGAAGTAAGAAAGATAAAAACAAATATCATATATTAACGCATATATGTGGAACCTAGAAAAATGGTACAGATGAACCAGTTTGCAGGGCAGAAATAGAGACACAGATGTAGAGAACAAACGTATGGACACCAAGCGGGGAAAGTGGCGGGGGCGGGTGGTGGTGGTGGGATGAATTGGGGGATTGGGATTGACATATATACACTAATAGGTATAAAATGGATAACTAATAAGAACCTGCTGTATAAAAAAATAAATAAAATAAAATTCAAAAAAAAAAGACCGTGGGTTCAAGTCCCAGTCTGGGTTGTGGCCGGGTTCGAGTCCCAGTCTGAGTTCCACAGTTTTACTGGGGCAGCACGTGCTTGCCCTTGCCCTTTTGCTGACTTTCTCAGTTGCCGGTGGCATCTGGATTGGCCTCATCTACCACGTAAAGCAAAGACAGCCTAGCAGGGTAGACTCTCAGCTGCTCTGGCCTCCAAAGCCAGACAGCCCGTGTTCAAATCTCAGCAGCTCCACTCACCTGCTGTGGGAGTTAAACGCTCTGTGCCTCAGTTTCGTCATCCATGAAACAGAGACAATGGAGCGCATTCACCTGAGAGGAATTTTGTGGGAATTAAACGAGTTAATATTTATAGAAAGCTTAGAACATTATCTGGCATGTGGTTGGTATAACTTATTTGTTGATATTTTTGCTGTCATCAGAGAGGTAAGGTTCAATAGCCTAGGGTAAGATGGGGTAAATTGGAAAAGGAATGCAAAACCACAGCAACTCCCCAACTCATATTGGCTCAAAGGAGTGACCTTTCGTGAGATACTGAATACACCCAGATAATCCACAGAGTGAGAAAAGCACAGAAGACAGGGATCCAGTTAGACCTCAGGGAAACTGGAAACAAGCATCCGAACATTGCCAGGACCCACTGTGCCCATTTTTCTCTTCTCCTCTTCTTTGTGGGTCATTCTTTCTCACTACACACCACCTTCCTCCACACGGTGCAGAACATAGCTCCTGACATGTAGAGATGAAACTCTCTGGCTCCCACGAACAGAGAGCAGCTGAGGCTGGCCCTGGCTTGGATGCCTACCTCTAGCTCAGCCGTGCCCAGGAGGCAGGTGACCTTGACTGTCCCATCTTGGGATAGG